TGAATGCGTACAGCTACTCCACATTGCTTAGAATATATCTGTCGGGCAAAAGTTAATCTGAATCCTTTGGCCCCCGAAGGGGAAATCTGGTCCAACCACTCTTTGATTTTTCAACCCAAGTGTATTGGTCCAAGGTTATCGATCCCAGTCGACGCTCCAAATTGTCATGACAACCGATCGCGTTTGGAGGAGTATCTGATTAAACTGTTACCATGGTGCCATTTTCTCAGCTTCGTTACTTGCCTAAATTGGGAGACACTTGCAATTATTACGAAGAGGCCCAAAGGGTCATCCAACTTCCCTAGCGTAAACATGGACTCATTTTATTTAAACCTTCACACACAAAAGTCAAAATTCATCATGGTCCCCCACTTCCTCCCTATTCGACTGTGCGATTATTTATACAATAATTTTCTACGGGGGCGTCAGGGCGCCGTAATGAACAGAAAGACCTCCCCTCTATCTTGTTTGTACTCTCATCGCTGCCGTTGTCCGTTATAACCTTCAACAGCAAGATCTGTGAAGAAAATCTGACTTGGGACAGTTTAATGACGGCAAGACGACAGACGGCAGGTTAGAATTTAATCAGAGACAGGTCCAAGAGGTAAGAGACCTCCTGTGCAATCATAAATGCTGGTGGGGGGATTTTTATTTCATTGGACGTGGTCTTTCTACGGCCCCGTAGTTGATGCATTCGAATGACTTTTGAACCAGGAAGCTTAAGCTTATTATGTGATTTTCAACAGAGTGTGCAGTTAGGGATGAACGTACATGTACGTACATGCATGCACCTGGACTCAAAGTGCTAAGTTACAAATTTAAAATCTTTTACAATATCTTCTGGCAACAAGTCCCTGTCCACATTAACAATCAGTAAGTCTATTTCCCTACCATTGAAACATTCATATGGTGAAAGCAATCCAATGATTTAAGAGTTACAGAGGAAAAGGAATTCCGTCGACAGATGGAATCCTGTAATTGAGCAATTTCAGTCCACCTGTTCGCAGTCTCTTGACTGTAGTGTAAAGGGTACGCTAAACTTTTTACCCGGACGGCACGTTGAAACTGTACATTTTAGGAAAAGAATTGACTCTGGGCGGGGTGCGCGCGCATTTGATTGAGCAAATTAGGAGGCGGACGGACTATTGCAACTGTCACTGGTAACTCGAAAAAAAGCCCCGTTGAGCACATCTTAAATTAACCTGTAAAGCCACACCACCTATAGCATACATTTTTAGACCGGAAAACACTTGGATGGAACTTTGAAATGATTATCCCTTTTCGGCCGAGTCGGATTCTAACTCTGGCCACGCACCAGAGAAGGGGAAAGGAACCTCTTTGCCAACCAATCTCGTCCCATCCCTGATATTCCTGTCCATATTTTGTTGTTGTGTCGTGTAATGCGCTTTTCCCACAGTAACAGCTCGCAAAATGATAATTGGTTTCAGTAAAATACAGTTCACGACCGACCGCTCGAAATCGACTTCCAGGGGGACTATGACGTACTGGGTTAACCGCACTTGCTATTGTTGGCCGAAGTGAACATACATTGTTATTTCGATCCCAGTTTGGATTGACGCGGTCAGGAATAGCATTTGGGTGGTATCAAGCACAGTTGGACTACCAGGTGGGTGTGCCTTTATTCTGAGCCACGTACACCAATTGCTTATGTGCTAACCTCGTCCCCCCAGTGTAGAGCAGGGCGACCCCATAACCTCTCCTTACCCCAGAAATGGATCATGCATTTTCTTTAATTACCAAAAAGTTGGATACGTATAAGAAATAGTCTCTTGCAATGTCATGTTTTCATTCAACTTTCATTTTACCACGCGGTGTCTGGTCTCATCGGGGAGCGTAATTTTTTCCGAAGACGAAAGGTCAATCAATATATGATCCAGTCCATGCTTATAAGCCCTACATGCATTATGTTTTTTGTTACAATCAAAGTGGAAGAGAGAGAACAATTTTTAAAGGGAAAACAGAATGTATCATTCCGTGTCAAACCCTCCCTGGGTCGAATATGACCCAAAACAGGTCACTTGACCCGGAAAAGGGTCAGGCCCTATGGTACCCAGAAAGAACAACTGAGAGAAACTTCCCCATGAAACACTTATGTTGGAATTTTACCTTTGTCCTTTTCACGTAATACCGTTATTTAGGAAAAATCACCTGCAGATGGGTAAAACATTAATATTCTTGTGACGGACCGACTTGAATCAAGTCTAATCTTGGAATATGTTATGAGTTTGGTAGTCATCCGAATAGTCATAATAGTTCCCACCCCGTCATGCTTAACCAGTATTTAAAGAGCTCGATGGGATATGAAACGGTCCGTTGTTTGTAACTAGTCATATTGCTTGATTTACACATGTATGAGGCTGGATTAGCTCAATGGTTATATTTCTACAAAACTTTGACGCATTATCCTTGAGCAACGTGCTTTGCCGTGGCGTACGTGCGATTCTCCCTCTCTCCGATCGAGTTGTGTTGGCACATTTACTCAGAGGAGAGAGGCGGGTCCGCACAGTGCCCTTGGGAATTTATTAAAAGTTAACGTATAATGCGCTTGGAAATTTATTAAAAGTTAACGTATAATGACCTTGGGAATGTA